ACTGTGATTGTAATGTGTTAACTATGTACTATGTACTATCTGTATGATGTTATACACTGTGATTGTAATGTGTTAACTATGTACTATGTACTATCTGTATGATGTTATACACTGTGATTGTAATGTGTTAACTATGTACTATGTACTATCTGTATGATGTTACACACTGTGATTGTAATGTGTTAACTATGTACTATGTACTATCTGTATGATGTTACACACTGTGATTGTAATGTGTTAACTATGTACTATGTACTATCTGTATGATGTTATACACTGTGATTGTAATGTGTTAACTATGTACTATGTACTATCTGTATGATGTTATACACTGTGATTGTAATGTGTTAACTATGTACTATGTACTATCTGTATGATGTTATACACTGTGATTGTAATGTGTTAACTATGTACTATGCCGTTATTGATTACTTTGAAATAAAGATTTTTTAAAAACCAAAAAATAAAAAGCAAAAAAAGAGAGGTAAATCTGCCTATTGCAGGTCTTTCTTTAGGTCTGAAATGTTATATAAACTATTAATTAGACATCTATTAACATGAAAAGACCTTAATCAACTCTCGATACCATATTATGTGTCGGATTTTCACTGGATTTGAATCCGGTCTGCTGTTCAACACTCATTGATGATTAACCGCAAAACTGGATAATCGAGACAATGTTAATTATCGTAAACAACGGCAACAATGGCAATCGAGGCTACAGTGATTTTAAAATAAGGTTTTAGAGTAAAGCAATTTGACTGAAATTTTTAGCATATTCTCTTTACATTATCTAGTTTCTAACTATTATAGTGAGAACTGCCAGCTCTTTATCTAATCTTCCATAATGTATCTTTAAACATGGTGTATTGTCTACCATTTTTGTCGCCCTTCCTTGCTGGTGCCTGCTTTGTCCATTAATTGTGATGTGTTTAAAACTTCATTTTGAAAAAATACAAATTTGTTTTATGGTTTATTATTGATAATATTTGGAATTAAATTTGTTAGGTGTTTATATTGGTCGCACTTTTCTCTCAAATTAAAAATAAATTGTTTATTGGAAATTAAACATAAACATTCTTATAGCTGTAATAATATAATACCAAGTACGAAAAATCCAACCATTAGTGAAATTCGAAGTCCTAAAAAATAGTGTACTCAGCAAAATTAATGTACGGTTGACCATTTACATATACGAGGTGTATTAGTGGTAACGTGTGTCCAGAAGAGTAAACTTATCATGTCTGGCGCCACACCATTAGACGAAATCTCGGTAAAATAGTGCATATGAAGAACAGTGATAACACATAATTTATGAAAATAGTATAAGCGTCACTTAAAGGAGCTAAATCGCTAATATTTGGGACCTAGAAATTGCCACAAATGGGTCGCAACGCATATAATAATGTAATATGAATGTGTATGAACTGATTTACATTCAATCGTTTCCGTTTTAACTCTAATTTCAAATCAGTTATGTTCGACGAAATACGCCAGAAGTCTCAATCAAATTGCAATCTCTTGCGTCTGGTTATTCCAGTCTACACCGATAGTATTTATTGCGCATGTTCTCCAGATAAGAATATGACGTCACTGTTTGACATGACACGTGAAATATGTCATATACCGGTACGTATTCAATGAGATACTTCACAAAATCCTCTGATGGACATGACGTTGGTTTCTCCGACAATTGATTATAATTCTCCGTAAAAATGCCTATATTTATTATGGCCTACATGTAAATAACAGTAGATTGACATATTTCTTACTAAACTGATAATGGGGGGGGGGGGGGGGGGTGGATGGCCATATAAAAACCATGACTGATTGTTCAAGTGGTGTAGCTGTAGTTTTATCAGACAGGTTATCGAGTATATTATAGGGGCGGCATGGAGGGGGGGGGGGCAAGATGGCATCTGATTCTAGCGGATGACCCGGAGTTACACAGGCTAGACCAAATTTCTTAAGGCCAACTTAAGATTTGGTTAAGGGTGCCGCTGAGATGTAAATAGGGCAGGTGATTGTTGGCGAGATTGAAGGTTAGGGTTAGGGTAAGTGTTAGGGTTAGGGTTGGAATAAGCTCTAGCCTTGTCTACATCTCGTGACACATTTTAAATTAATGGTCATATTTTCCTTTTGGGTATGTCATTTACATGTATTCGATGTTGCTGGATTCAATTCTGTTCTAAAAAATAATGAATTTTGAGAATCCATGACGGCAGAATTTCAAAATGGCCACCACAATGAAATCCTAAATGGCTGAATATTATTTAATTAATTAGTCTTCATTTCGACTAATTACGAACAGCTCAGATAGTGTAAATTCAAACCGACAATCAAAATCTATTCTAACATGGCCATTTTTTGCCAGGCAAAATGTCCCTCATACAACGCCGGATTAACCATGGTGGGGGCCCTGGGGCCTGGAACATGTGGGGGGCCCCTGATCACCAACCGCAGAGCTGTGGACCGCGAGCGCAAAAGTCGCGAAGCCCCGCAAGTTAATTTTCTGCCAGAAAATTAGCGCATTCTGGCGTTATTTCAGTGGACCAATCAATGCGAGTGCTATAAAATGATGGCATTTCTAGAGGAGGGGGCTGGACGCAACCGATATTTTTGTGGGGGGCCCTCTAATGTTGGGGGCCCTGGGGCCTGTGCCCCATGGTGCCCCATGGTTAATCCGGCGTTGCCCTCATGGCACACTGTATGGCGGGTGCCCGTCTTCATTAGCCAAGTCCGAGCAGAACAGATGAACGTTAAACACTATTCCATATCATTTCATTTCATTTCTACAACACGTTCTCATCCGTTGGTATTTGTCATCATGGAGTTAGGGAGCAAGAGAAACGAGGTTTAACGTCCACTCGACACAAACTAGTTCATTCCGGGACTAACAAATGCTTTCAGTTTTTTCGCTTTCCACGCAAAGTCTTTAACAGTTGTAGGAAACCGGAGGAAGCCTTCGAGGTTGGACAAGCGATATAAACCGATCAATCGTATGTTATTTTACAGCTGCAAACGAAAATGTTTCCAGAAAACCAATGTATTGTTAGTTAGTTTACAGCTACAAACGAAATAGTTTCAGTTTTATCCAATAAACCTTTTATTGCCCGTCTGCGTAAAATTATATGGCGTTAAAACGTGTTAGAAATTTCCGTATTACATGGCTCTGATGCCCCCCCCCACCGCGTCTAGAAAATTTTGAAATTTGTCAATGCCGAGAACGCTGTTTAAAGCGCCTCTAGCATTCCAAATTCCAACATAAAACCATTTAAAATAAATGATAATGAAAGAGAAAAAACCTGATTATTCACAAAGTGTATCATGAACAATTCATCTCATAAAAAATTCTTTTTAATTCTATCATTTAAAAATGGGGGGTTGGATGGCCGAATGGTCAGCACGTGCGCGCTGTACCATAAAGCCTGTCATTGAGTCAACTGGCGTGGTTTCGAATCCCCGGTTGTACGTGGCAAGGAGCAGGGTCGCCTGTCCAACCTCGTGGGTTTTCTCCGGGTCCTCCGGTTTTCCCCCACTGATAAAGAGAGAGAGAGAGAGAGAAATAATGGGGTTTAACGTCCACTCGACACAAACTAGGTCATTTCGGGACTAACATATGGTTTTTAATTTTATTTCAAAAATTCGCTTGCGCGTAGGGGTCTTAAGCTGTGGGAGGAAACCCACGAGGTTAGACAGGCGACCCTACTCCTTGTCACGTACAACCAAGGATTCGAAACCACGCCAGTTGACTCAATGACAGGCTTTATGATACAGCGCGCACGTGCTAACCCCCCCCCCCCCTCCCACTGCTATAGACCCCTACGCGCAAGCGAATTATTGAAATAAAATTAAACCATGTTAGTCCCGAAATGACCTAGTTTGTGTCGAGTGGACGTTAAACCCCATTTTTCTCTCTCTCATTTAACTATGAATAGACTGGTAAAAAGGTTGAACACATGGGTATACATCTATACCACAGAAAAGGGCAGGGTACCAATTGTATAGCCGGGTATCAGGGTTCCGGCGCCCCTAGCAGAAATAATAAATTAAACCAAGTGCGAACAATCTAAACCTTTAGCTGCCTTTTCAGTACGCTCATGTCTGACGTTGCCCAATTAAATGTAACCATTGCCTACTGATCCGTCAACAAGACACCATCATTAAATAATTCTATATTCTTCAAGCCTTCGAAAATGAGATGAAATGGAGTTTAACGTCCCACGCCGGAAAATCTAGATGAACTTTCTCAGCCAATGCAGGGATCGAACACCCGACCTCCAGGCTAGCGAGCCAGCGCCTTACCCACTTAGCCACGCGATCCCCTCTTAGTACACGTTAAAGGCAATAACGTCATAATCAGTACGTGTAGCACCGGAGGTGGAGTTAATTACCCAGTATTTTTGATATAATGCATGTACATACAATTTTAGCGGGGATCGCGGTGGCTCGTTAGTCTGGAGGTCGGGTGTTCGATCCATGCATTGGCCGAGAAAATTCATCCAGATTGTCAGTGATGTTGGACAGAGGGCCTGACAAGGACAGCTGTCTAGTCGTTGGGAAAGTAGCCTAGCAGTCCATCGCCACCAGGCCTATGTCTCTCCCCAGTCTGAGCTATGCCTTTTCACCAAATGTCAGCCTCGGTAGATCCCTAGCCGCCAACCCTGAACAGACATACGACAGTTATGAATAGATTATGGAAAGGTGATATTTGTCATTTTCATCCTTCACATCGTCTGATGTGTCAAACATTATATACAGCACCTAGTTAAGGTGTCCAACTATTGATACGTTCAATCAAATAATGGACGTCAGCAATGATTGGTGTTTAACGATATGTAACGGAATATATAACTCAGTTTGAAACGGAATATATAACTCAATTTGAAACGGAATATGTAACTCAATTTGAAACGAAATATGCAACTGAATAAACATAAACCCAAGTAGAAATCTTATTTCATACATGATTTACATTCTAAATTTTCTTCTTTCCGGAAAGGATATGGAACTACCCTACTATAATCAAATCAGTGTATTCAACATATTAACCTAGACGCATAGTCAAAATAATTATTTTATTGGCAATGTTACTCCATTCCTTAAGGACACATCTTTTTCATGCAGATGCTGGAAGGGTTGGTCCTTTTCACAAACTGGAAACAACAATTGGGCAGTCTCTTTAGGACACATCCTGGGATCTGGAGAGCACTAGGAACAATTCTGAAAGAAAGGAACCATATTTGCATAACATTTGACGGAAGGTAACAGTGGTGGCAGTGGTATTCGTAAAAATATTTATTATTATTATTATTATTATTAACTTTTGTGTTTATTTTAATAAAAATCAATTATAAATTGTTGGTTAAACAGCTGTTTTGAGTAATTGATGTTACGCCTAGTTTGTGAGATTTTGGGACTCGGAAGTCAGCACCTTAACGTTGTATCCATCTTGACCCCCCCCCCTCCCACGCTGATTCAATTCCTGGACACGCACTTGCATGTAATTTTAATTCTTGATTTCGTTTTCAGCCAAAGATGTCAACTGTTGAACCGACAGCAGCATTGGCTTGAGCTATAGACCTAGAATTCTGCCCATGATAAATTGTTTTAACCTGTTAACTGATCTATCCCACAATACTGAATTAAAATGTATTCTTATCTTACAAGCTAAACACATATTCGACCCTAAGGTTGTATCTTAAAAAATCAATCGTACCCACAAAAATGTAAAGCATTCTTATTACAAGTATACCGCACACATTCAGTGTAGGAAATCCTAGACTCTCCAACTTCTAAAGTACCTGCAGATGTTTCACATGTTGAACCTGTAATAAAAATAAAATGAAGGAAGCATGAAATGAAATGGGGTTTAACGTCCAACAGAAAGCTGTGGAAGGAGACCGGAGGACCCGCGGAAAAAAAACAATCACGAGTTTGTCATTGACCCTAGTACCTATCACGTACAAGAGAGAGGTCGAAACTACGCCAGTTGACCCAGTAACACACCTTATGATAAAGCGCGCCGACGCTAACCATTCAGCTATCCAACCTCTCGCGACCTGTTTAAATAAAATGTTTTCTAGTTTGTGAATGTCTACTTACTATTTGGATCCCTAGCCTTAGCAGCACAAGCTCCTTCGATTTCATAAACTAACATCGCCAAACACCCAACACCAAGCAATATACTAGCACACTTCATCTTCGGAAAAACTAAAAAATCAATTTTCATCTAATGAGACCAGTATCACACAGCATTTGGGAAATATTCCCCTTTTCTCTTCAGTTACTTCCCGCCTGTATCACTACTGTTTGTAATCTGACTAAAACACAGATCCTATTTCGTTTCGTTTGTTATAGTTCAAAATTTCGTTTTACTTGTCTTTACTCCACTAGAATCTGGAAGAGTTGTTATCATTGACGTGTTCTGGGTGATGTGAAGGATAGCCAATGAAACGGTCTGTTACGGCGAGCTTTTGGCCTGAGGTGTACGGAACTGTGGGCAATCAAAGGTGAGATTGGGACTTTCATGTGGTTCAATTTAATTTCATTCAGTTACCTATGCGTGGGAATAAACCGGTAGACCCTTAGAAAAACCCAACAGATGGACAGGCTACCCTACTACCGGTGGTCGGTAACAATGATTAGCCATGTCTATCGTATATTTAATATTTGCTGACGCCAAGATTGTTCTGTTCTTTAAGCAATTTGTCACCAACCACAAATGAAAAGCTGACCCCTCTTCGTTCTGAGATGATAATTTGGGATGTTACAAAATTTCTCTCCTAATCAAAGCATACTGTCCCTGTTAGCCCAGTCGTTGCGGTAGCACGTTAAACTGGCATGCTAATGCGTACATGAGATTAGATCAACTGTTCCTTGAGACCCCCCTTCCTGCACAAATGGCATGGGGAAACCACGCCAAAAAAGCGCGACTAAAACCTGAAACGACCGAGTTTTCTCTAACTAACTAAGCCAGCGCGGTTCCATGAATCTGTTATGTTGTTCACTTTTTGTAAATATAACTTATTCATCCAAAACGATATTTTTTATGTATATACGTACATGTAGTCAGATGTTCGACTTGTCTATACCGATATGGTGTTAATCCTATAAACAATGGAGTTAATTAGAATTGTTTAATTAATAGGATTAACCACTTTGGTAACAAGTTTCTATAGTTTTAACTTGGCAACGTAGGATATATAAATCCAAGAAACGTGTCTACTAGCCATAAACTTATTACCAGTTGTTCCTACTCTTTAGTTCCAGCCCCGTATAGCATAGAGACTGATTACTAGGCAGAGATCGTCCTTACATTAAATCGAATAAAACTTACCCTGGATTTCAACTTTACAGCACCCAAGGGATATTCTCTGTAAAATGATATTAAATTCAAACAACACGATATTTATATACTTTTGTTATGAACATCTGCTGTGTATGTGTCATCATTTTATTCTTTGATACCACTAAATATCACTGTATTGATTATGTTCATCAAAAAAAGAGTTGGATGACAGGTCGAACCTATTTACAGTTAATAACTCACAAATTGAAACAAAATGCTATTATCAAAGCGAACTACTCAAATGGACAAAACCGGCTATAGGTCAGTCATCAAGTACCTGCAACTGAAAGTCCACGATAAAGAAGTGGGCTGCAGAATTTAAGTGTGGCAGAACGAGAGCCTTAAAGTTACAATTTCATATTTTCTAAGAAAGTCAAAACATAATTATTTCTATGTCTTTTGCTGAATAGGTTGTCAACTCACTATTATACGATCATAGGTTATCTTTCTCACACTTAGAAATCTTCACACCGGAAATAATAACACAATTACCTCGCAATTACCTCCCTTGTTTTCCTATTCCCCCAATTTCTCAACTAGCAATAGTGAATTATAGGATTAATAGGATTATTCTTTAACAAGCTAGGACTGTTTATGGATACCATCTATTTTAGGGCTTTATTTTAATACATTTTAAAAATATGAAATTGTAACTTTAACGATTACTCTCGTCCTGGAAGGTCATCAATAGAACCCATTCAAGAAAACATTACCCGGTTGCATGACATGGCGATGACTGATCGACGATTGACCACTCGACATATTGTCAGTGTTGGGCGCATTATCGCCAACGAGTCAGGAATGGCAAAAGTTTCTGCACGAATGGTGCCAAATATCTTTACTTTGGATCAGAAACGTGCCAGAGACCCGTTTCCTAAAATGAAAAAGGAACTAGCCGGTCGTCAGCTGTGAGCGATTATTTTAGGGTGACTGAATCAAATTTCGTCCTGGCCGGCATCCATCCCTAGCAAAAGTGTGTACACCTCGAAGACTACGTAGAAAAATAATTGGAAACCATGACTGCGAACGTTTTTTTTTTACAGATAGACTTAGAACTTTTCAGCCAGCTCTCGCATATGTTATAGAATATAACATAATTTATAGTATGAATATTCGCCCACTATGCCAGGCGGTGAATACAGCAACTTCAATGTGGTCCAATATAGCCTAACTCAGGTGATTGACCTAAATTCCAAACAATCAATCAATTGTCGCGGGAATGATGATAATAGACTACACTGTAGCCAACATACCTATATTTAGTCCTGGATCTGACTATGGTTCTGTAGGAAAGTTTTAGTAGGGAGAATTTTTTTGAAGAGATGTTTAGTAGGGGGGCTTAGTCAGTATTTTGGACTTGGGTGGACACTCACCATGTGGTAGGGTATTCCCCTATGACGTCATCAAAGATGGCCGCCGACGTTATTTCAATTTTATCCTACCTGCTATAGTTTCAATAATAATAATAATGCATATTTATAAAGCGCCAATCCATCCACAAATGCATGCTCTAGGCGCGTACTATGTACTCTATGGTCACTATTTACACACATATCCGGGCAGACTCTAGCTAAAATACACTGGTAAATAAATGAGTATTTAGTTTTGCTTTTAAAGATTCAAATGATGGAACTGTATTAAGGTGATGGGGTAAAGAATTCCACAATATAGGTGCACGGTACTGGAATGTTCTCGAACCGAAAGTTTGTAGATTATACTTTGGAAGCACAAATCTTGTGATCTTAAAGGGACAATCCCGATTTGAACAGAGTCTCAAAAATAAAAGTCCGAGTACGTAGGAAATTTAAGCGCGGGGTGTTATCTCGCTTCTCAGCCGAGAAGGCTGTGATGGTCCCCAGCTTCCCAATGATTTCTACTTCCCAGTGTCTCAATGCATATCTAAAGAAAATTAAACTGGCTCTTTCTTATATAAAGGTGATACATACATGAGTCAGTTTTGAGCCCCGGGAAATTGACCAGGCTCTTCCCCTACCGGATTGGCCAGTTGCAAAGACGATACCCTGGATATAAACACGGTGGTACTTATATGGGCATCTAGAAAGATGGCTAAACACGTTTCTAAAGCATGGGATTAGCAGACTATGATGTCATTGCCCCATTTTAAACTTCCAGACATATTTTTGTTAGCCTAGATTAACAATAAATAACACTGTTTCAACGTCAAGGTAATTTCACTGTCATATTGTTCGTTTTCTTCCACTTTAACCTAAACACAGAAAAATATAACTGAAGTGTTCCTGAATGACTCAAGTGTCCTAATTTCAAAATATTATTACATTACACTTAATATTGTTACAGTTCAGTTTCACTTTAACTTCGCCAATTCATCATCTTGGATTTCCATTGTTCAATTTCAGCTGTCATCGTCTTCTTCTTCTAAGTAAGGTATTTCGTTTGTCACAAGTTCCAACTTCTAAGTAAGGTATTTCGTTTGTCACAAGTTCCAACTTCTAAGAATTTTTAATCGGCACTTCTTTTGACGACTTGTGTTGGGATAAATTTATTCATCCTCAAATCAAACATGTCATTGTTATCAGATCAAAAACTAAGTAGTCCTAATCTAAAACTGTATTTAAATATTAACCTAAGAGTATTTCTTAACCTTATTATTAACTTTTATTCTTAATTAAAATTAACTTCTGTTGTATTAATACACTGCGAGGTGTCTCTTTAATCATCAGAATTCAAAAACAGTATCAAATTACCTTTGACCTCTTAACCCTAATGATGAGAATTTCTGCTTAGGCTAAGAAGCGATAAGCAATTTGATTGGTGAAGACTTTGGAACATAACAACTCTGCTTTTAATTGAGGTAGAATGTTTAAACTTGATGAAGATGTTCATCAGGTGAATGTCTTGCCTGAGTTCAATGATTAACATTTCGAGCTAACGTTAATCAATTTCATTGGTCAATGCCTTTGAGCAAGGTAATCTTTATTCTATCTTATAGAGAGTGATGAAACTTAGTGTATAGTTTGATTCCTCGATACTTTTGAAAAAAATGAATGTGCGATTAATTAATATGTATCATCTATTTATTTTGGGATATCGGCGGGGGACATCAGCCTCACTGTTGGCTTGTTTATACTTTTGATGGCCTACTCTACATGATTTTGTTAATATTCTTTTGTAAATATTGCTCTACTGTTTTCAAATTTCATTTGTAACTTCTTTAACTTCTGTTATAAAGGGTAAAATGTAAGACAGGCCTCCTGGCCTAATTTTCAACCCTTTGAAAATAAAGTTATTATTATTATTATTATTATTATTAAGATCTGACAAATCATAGTGTGGGTTCACGCCAGGGGTAAAAAAACGGACTTTTGACCCTATCACGCCAGACATTGCTTAATCAATCAGCGCTGACGTTTCTAGTGGTTTACCAACTGTTCCTAGCAGTAAAGACAAGTAAAACGAAATTTTGAACTATAAAAACCAAACGAAATAGGATCTGTGTTGCAATCAGATTGAGTTTATTCATCCCTTGATTCCGTGAAATAGAAACAAATTTTGCCACCAAAGCTGGTTTGAATACTGTTTGGTGCGAAGTGAACGTACCGTTTTCTGCGTGCCTAGTTTGTGATATTTTAGTATGTTTAGGGTAATAACGTGTCTTAAAATGTTTCTATTATAAAGGTAACAATTATTATCGTGATACATATATATATGTAGATTTTATTAACGCTAGGTATATATTCAGGCTATGGACTAGGTAGAAATTAGCCCGATTTTCTTCAAATTTCGGAATGTGACCCCACAAGTATTACATTTGTGTTGTGTCATCAACTTGTCAAAGACGATACCTTGCATACTCCTCGCAGTGTCCCGTTTGATTACAGCTAATCCCACTACGCACTGCTGGAAAGAGGGAAAATTCTTGTTCTAAATTATGATTTGGTCAATAGTCCGATTAACTACCAATCGCTAACTGCGTTACAAAGGCATTACCCTTAAAACAGGGTGTCAAATTGGGCCAAATATGTTTAGGGGAGACTCCAGATTAAACGAGGGATTGTCATGTTGCTGTACTCAAGTGATAGATTTGATTAAACGGGAAGAATAGACACACTCCCTCAAAAGTTCAAGTATCAGAAGCCAATCCAGCAATGGCCAGAGAGGGATATCTCGGGCCATTGCTCCAGGAATATGATACCTTGTAGTCTAATTATCTGACCCAGATGGTGTGGTGTATCGGGTATATTAAGTGTCATATTAAACTGCTCTATATTTACTGTCTGTTCCAAGAGATACCCCGACTCTCAAATTCCTTGCCATTTCTTCAGTTTTTAATTTAAACGGACAAAATTAGTGACATACCTGAAATTGTCATCCCGTTGCTCTCTTCGTCGAGCCCTAACGTCTAAAACTTCGATAAGATCCACTCTCCTCTTGAAAATTTCACATATTTCGACATCGTTTCTTTCTCAAAATATCAACATTACCAGTGCGTCTGCGTATAGGGTAGACATATATCTCTTAATCGGGTACATTCGGTTAGAAATATTTAGTGAAGGAAAATTCGCCCGTTTCTTTTGCGGCAGTAATACTTAGGTTTTAGACTGTGGATCATGTTTTTTGGTCGGATTAATATTATATTATAAGCAACTCGGTTTTTGGGAGCAAGGTCTAGAGATATGGCATTTTTATAAATACTTTATTAGTTTTCCAAAAGTACATAGGTTCTGATCAGCTGTATATAAATATTCAAAATATATTTGTCCAGATTATTTCCCTTTGGATTATCCGATTGACACAGAATCAACGGCATAGTATACATGTTGGCGGTAGCTATAATAATAATTGATACGAAATATTATCTTATCTCAAATTAGCTGATATATATATCTGGATAGTCCTCGTAAATATGCAGAGCAAGGCGGGAATCGATTTTCGTACTCCGTTTTCCCGCAAATGTTATTTAACTTTTTTATTTTATAATACACATGTATTTATATTCTAAACATTTATCTACACGTAGGGGTGATATATAAGATCAACCAAATATCCATGAATCATTTTGAATTTTTGCTATTTCTGAGAAATAGGTAATTTTGTGGAAGTCACTTTTCAAAAGAATAAAATATTGTTCTATTTTAATGACATTTGCACGATTTGATACTGCGACTGTACATTATTGTAACATTCTTGTCATTAGAAATGGCATCATTTTGGCAAAATTGTTACTTTTAACCCTTGTAGCACAAATTAGAAATTTCCCCGATTCTGATTGGTCGAAAAGTGTGGTCGAATGGACAATAAACCCCTTCTGAATTATCAAGGCGAATTACTGCGTATAAATATTACAGTGTACTATTTTTTTCATTTTTGTGCTCAATGATTTCGCGTCTCGTGTTCTAATGATTCAAGAATGGTTAAATGGACAATAAATCCCCTCTAAATACATACCAGGGAGTGTTTATCTCCTGATTAAACAAACTTGAATTTCAAATGTACCTGTTTGTTCATAATTAAATTTCAAAACTTTAATTCCACATATCGAAAAGCACAACCCACTGCGAACATATAAGTATATCAAAAGATAGTTTGTAAATTTATGCAATTGTCCAAAGTAACTTTTACGTTGTTTGCCCAAACACATCTACAGTGATTTTGAAAAAAAAACCCAACATATTTTCAACCCTTAAAGCAAACATGTTTTTTTTTTCTAAAGAGTGTTATTCAATGCCATTTAATAATGATGTTTACTAATTTCCTTTAAGTAATATTGTGTAGATATCCGATAAAGCATTGGTCATTTTGTAAGGGTTCCACTCATCAACATGCTATCAAAAATGGCCATTTCGACTAAATTTGTAACACGTGTATCATGCTCATGGGAATATGTTAAGTGAAGTCCTTTAAAGAATTACGGGCACCGGTGAAACCCGTCATGACTGCATCGCAGTTAAAGTTTTCCATAATTTTCTGAGCTGTTTCTAAGCCCCCTTTTTGCAACATAAATACCGGTATTTTAATATTCCTCACAGTTTACTGCTGGGTCTTAGATATTCATAGTATTGTTATTTGACAACAGTTCAGATTTATTTCAGATATTCAGCTAGAAAAGACCAAAAAAAAGTGAATCTTCGAAAATATAACCCCTTGAATAATTTATTATTGTTATCAACAGTTAATTATTTAAAGATTAAAATTACACGAGATGTCAAGAAATGAATCAAACTATTACGTGTATGTAGTTATTTTGAGAAACAGAATTATTTACTCCTCGCAGTGTTTCATTTGAATAGATCTAATCCCACTTAACACTGCTGTAATAGAAGCAAATTTCTGTTCCAAATTATGACTGGTCAATAGTTCGATTAACAACCAATAGCTAACTGCGTAACAATTTCATTAGGCTTGAAACAGAGCTCCAAATTGGACCAAATATCTTTACAAAACGTTATGCCATGACTCACGAAATTTACGCCGAATTAACCAGTACATAGCCAAAAATTGCATAAAAACGTATTGCGTGACAAGCGAGGCTGTCTAAACGGATACAATATAAACAATACTGTTTGGGGCGAATAATACTTTAACCGTTTTCAATACCTTAAATCACTATCCAAAGTTTCAGGGAAGACACCAGATTAAACGAAGGGCTGCGATGTTGCTGTACTTGGGGTAGATTTGATTGAACGGGAAGAATAGATACACTCCCGCAAAAGCTCATGAATCAGAAGCCAATCCAGCAATGGCCAGAAAGGGATTTCTCGGACCAATAGCTTCAGGAATACGTGTTCTGCGTTGCATAACCTTGATTGAAGATATGAAATGAAATGATATAATTGATGTTTAATGGCACGCCAGCATTAACCGGGCGATAATACGCCAGATTAATTAATAAAATTATTATATAAAAATCGTTTTACTTTTGTTGTAGGCTTCACGAGAAATTAGGTTACATATACAATTAGTCTAATCATTACTCCAGCCTAAATTCAACTTTTAATTGTCTAAAGGCAAAGTCTTAAGCAAAGGAATAACTTATATTGACTATGCAATTCCCGATTACTTTTGCATATTATGGACCAAGTTATTGTGTACGCCTATAGCCCCCTTCAAAATTTCCTTCACATGCAGTTCAGGATAAAATTTGTATGCAGTTTATATGAATATCAAAACGCTACATATTCAACTCAGTTGAGCAAACAGCTGTGGTTTTGGATTCCGTAAAACTAAAAGTTATATTCTACTGGGCCGAAACAACTTCCTTGACATCCAAGTAGACCGAAACGACTCCCGCCAAACCAACGCCCCCTCCCTCTTCGACTCTTCCGGATAACTAGGTCAAACATGGCTGATGTTCAACAGCGCGATGTAAACAAACTATGATTTTTCATGAGAGAGAGGTTATATGGCTTGATCTGAATTTGGTTTCCACGTGTAAGAAAGTGATGGGGTGGCAATTCTAGGTATGTCACTAAGTTTTAGCCGTTTAAATTAATATACGGTAATAAAAAAAACAAAAAAACATGTGATTAAAATATTATATTAAGTTATAGTAAGTTTATTATACATTAATAATAATAATAATAATAATAATGACTTTATTTTCTGAGGGAACATATTTAGTACATGAGTTCTAATTTTCAACATGTCCCTCCTACTCAATAAAACTAGCAACTACACAGTAATAATATTTACAAAGTGCATATATATCATAGTATATAAGCTTATAATAAAGAAATATCAAACAAACAAGAAAGAAAACAAAAATGGCAAATAAACATACATTTAGAGGACAACAGTAATTAACAAGGGTTCAAAGATTTAACGTGTTTTACTAACTCCTTTTTAAAGATAAAACATGCAGACGCATATTAAATTAGATATAATAGAAGAAACTTTATTGCACAAAAAACCTTGCAACGTTATGTACATATACAAATAAAAATAATATTAATTTCCATAGAAAGGGTTCAATATCGAAATATTAACGGCCTATTGAGCCATTGTACCTGTATATAATATGTGACAACAAGGTACAATACTATTTACAAAGTTAAGAAAATTTGATCCAAAAATGTGAACATTTACAGCTTATTTAAATACAGGGGAAAAGTCACCCTAAAACAATCTATTTTTGCATTGGTGTGAACATGAAATATTGTTTGTTAACAAGCAGTTGCCATATAAGATACGCCCGTATTTTGCAAGAGATGGACAGAGAACAAGCTAACAAAAAGGTGTTTTTTTCACAATCAGGTCATAATTCAAGAAATCAAGGTCTCCAGGGGATCCACGAGCTAAAAACTCGATTTCTTGTACAATCGGGTGCCATAATCCAGGAAGTTAGGTCCGGTATGCGCGAATATCGAGATGAATCAAGATCTTTGGGATATAAACATAATTTTCACTTTTATCAAAATCAGATAAAAATTGTTACCTGTAGAGGGACCACAACCTTGGTATTACATACTTTTACACTCTTTGCCTACAAGGAGCGGCCATTTGTCGAGCAGTTTCGATCCGATTTTCATGACATTCGAACTCCATCATTATTGTGGCGTGCACGTAAAAGATCCCTTGACAGTTGGAATTCGATGTAAGAGTAGACCGTAGCGCCGCTGCCAGGGCAAAACTTCCCTCATAGCACGCTGTATGGCGTATGCCCTTCTTCATAAGCACAGTTTAGGAGCAGAACAGTAGGACGTTAAACCCCATTTCATTTCATTTCATTTTCATTTTCACGAAATTCAAACTATACCGTCATTATAGTGAAATGGTGTTATATTTGAACATTTTTTTTTAAATCAAATAAAAAAAATTGACTTCTAGAGAGTTCACAAGCTAAAAAAATGATTTTTCTAACAATCGGGGGTCTCAATCCAAGTTACGATCTGATACATGCCAATATTGAAAGGAGCCGAAATCTTTGGGAAATAAACCTATTATATTTCAAGTTTTATCAAAATCGGATAAAACTTATCTAATTAAATGTGTTTGCAAATTCTGTACAAAAACACACACTAATACGATGCATGTACTTTGACTTGGGTTTAAACATGCAAAGTCTTGTCCAATTAAACATATGTTCTGTTTTCAGAAAAATATTTTGAAAAATATAATTATAAATAGCTCGATCACCTTTATTAAAATATGTCAATTATTTATTCTGGCATACAATACCAGTCTTTTTAATGATAAAACTTGGTTTTTGGAAGCAATGAACAACCGATAATACTTTATATAAAAAGAGCTTTTTATTTTGTAGATCAAAATGTTTTCATTTGATACTCCCAATGGCAATGGCAGGAAAGTTTATAGTTGTCAACATTCATCTAATTAAACAATTTATATCAGGGTAATCTAATGAAATGGGACACGTTGTTTTGATTAGCATACCAAGCAATTAAGAATGAGTTCGCGAGAGAACCATGCAAAATTTAAAAATACCGGCACAAGCGGTGTCGGGCGAT